GTAAGGTGGCCATTTCGAGCCATCCGTCCCGCTGATCTTTTGACACCCCCCCCCCATCAAGTATTTTGCTCTGCAACAAGTGTAAGCCATCAAAAAGAGAGTCATTTTTTTAATCAGTCAACAGAAACAGCTTTTGTTTGTTTTTTTTTTAGCATTCCGTTGTAGTTAAGAGTAATACATAATTGGCTTTTGCCCCAAAACTTTTTTTTTTTTTTTTCTGCCATCTGCAGTGGTTGGAGGCAAAGGGACAAAACTATTGAGCACATCTGGACCAAGTAAGGAGAACGTTTAGCATGCATCTGTGTTTAAAGGTCAAAGTCGTCTGAACGATAACCCAAAAATTGCGGATACCGGAAATAACCACCGCTGCATTGGATGCCGGCTCGAGTGTTTACGATCTCTTAAGACGCCGGTTTTACCAAATCCTTTGTGAAAGGGGGCTTTTCTTTCACCTCATAGTCTCACGCCAGTATTATGTACATTGTTTCCATAGGACATTTTAAACCGCGCTGTAACCGCGTAAGCTATTAATCATTTCTACCGCAGTGACGCGACAGTCGCACCGCGGGATGCAACCTTGCCGTGTTGAGAGCGTGAAATCCACATCAGAGCACTTGTTGCTACTTTCACGCAGACCTGGTTCAGAGAGAGACGAAGCCCCCCCCCCAAAAAGGTCGAGCTGGGGCCAACTTGGCTGTGAAAGGGGTGTGGCAAAAGGAGAGCGGCAGAGCCTGCTGGCATTATTTATGTTTGTCCACTCCCTCAATGCTGTAGCGAAGGAGAAGGATGTTGTACAGTGTGTTGAAATAGATGTGTGACGTTGTATATTTGCTTCATTACTGCGTTGTCAAAGATCTCTAGAGACCCTTTTCTATCATCATAATAATAATAATAATAAAAGATGCCTTAGACAGCTATTTAAAATAACCTTCCTTTGTCTTTTAATTTATCTCCCTTGCTAACCTCCCATGCGCCCATTTGACCAGTCTCCAAATACACATTTAATATGAATAGTCTCATTTTTTTTAACCCTTTCCCGTTGCTCGATTGTGCTTCAGGAGAAGCCAGGAAATCAGCAGTTTATTTTATACTGTGTATAAATAAATAAGAATATATGAAAGTGGTGTATGTGGTGAAACTTTTTTTTTTTTTTTATGGTCCATGATAGCTCTTTCGTTGGAAATACAAACGTACATGTAAAAAAAAAAAAAACAATTATTCCTTGAAAGTCCGCGTCTTCGAGCGCGGCGCTTGACTGTGAATGATTAAACGTCATCAGTGAGCGACAGATATCCGCCAAAGGAACGATGATTAATTTTTTATTTAATTCAGTGTACTTTTTTTTTTATTCCACGACCAATTTTGTTCAACTCTTTGTAGCTGCGAAAGCTTTTGTGTACGTTTTGCACATTTGAAATTGATTTGAAAATCTCTCTCTCTCTCTCTCTCTCTCTCTCTCTCTCTCTCTCTCCCTCTCTCTCTCAAATGTCGCTAAAGCGACGGGTAATTCTCTGATTGTACTTTGATTTGATATTATATTGGTATGAGGTGGTCGTTAAAGCTCCAAGGTGAGTAACGGTAATCGAAACTTCCTTTTGAATTGACTTATCTGCTCTTGGTAGCAAACGTTGTTAGCTTGGAGCTCCGCGGTTTTGGCACTTTTCCGGCATTCGTCCCAATTTCTTCATCTGTTTATTCTTTTAAGGTAAAGGCAAATACGTGTTTGCTAACATAACACGACGAACACGTTGTTGCCTCGCTTCGAAACGTCGATAAACACTCCAGTTTCTTCTTCAATGCGGATGAACGCAAATCGTAATTTATGCTCGTCAATTATCAACAAATATTCCAAATAATGGCATTAAACAGCCAGATTGAGCTTGGAGCTCCGCGGTTTTGGCACTTTTCCGGCATTCGTCCCAATTTCTTAATCTGTTTATTCTTTTAAGGTAAAGGCAAATACGTGTTTGCTAACATAACACGACGAACACGTTGTCGCCTCGCTTCGAAACGTCGATAAACACTCCGGTTTCTTCTTCAATGCGGATGAACGCAAATCGTCATGTATGCTCGTCAATTATCAACAAATATTTCAAATAATGGCATTAAACAGCCCAGATGAGATGCGTCGGAAAATAAATAGAAACACAAGTGCACGAAAATTTGCAATATGTCATGAGCTACCGATTATTCGTGTTCAGAATCCAAATTGCAAGACAGGGAAACAGCTTCCCGAGACCTTTCGTCGTTTTAGCTTGGCTGTTTTAAGCAATGTGTTGATATCTTGACACAAGAACAACCAGGATTGATATCTAGTTCAATAATAAAGGGCAAAGTACATAGAGGTGCAACAATTAATCGATTGGTTGGCATCGAATCGTTGATCCAATGAATCATGATTTTGGGCAAACGATTAATCTTGTAGAGAGCTTGTGTTTAGTTGAACATTGAGCAAATATTTGGTATTTAAGCCTCTCGAACAGCTTCACAACTTTTTTTTTTTTCCATTCCCTTCGTAGATTAAAGATGTGGGCCGAGTTAGAGGGCCGCATGGGTGGCTACGCGGAGCCCACGGCGCTGCTGGCAGAGTTTTGCCACACCGACCAGCGGCGACCGTTCCCATTGTGGCAGGATGGACACGTGGGCGTCTGTTTCAACCAGCTGGTCCTCGGCGTCCTGCCCCACACCGTCATGGCCGTCCTGGCTGCCTTCTACATGGGCGCGGCCAGGTAAACAAACAAACAAACATGGGGCTCATCTCGTTTCTCTGTCAAGCACCACAATGATCTACACCAGGGGTGTCAAACTCATTTCACATATCAAAACAATGGGACGCCCCCCCCTAGCGGATAATCCACGAATTGCATTTTATTTAAAATATTCATTCTGTGTCTTGAATGCATTTTTTTTTCCCCACTTTTAAATCATCCCGCGGGCCGGATCAAACCTCCTTGGGGGCCGGTTCCGGCCCGCGGGCCGTATGTTTGACACCCCCGATCTACACGTACATTGATTGGAAACGTTCACGTTGACCAGGTGCCAGCCCGCATGGGCGGCGCCCCCCTGCGGCCGGACGCTCCGCCTTCTGTCGTCGGCACTGGCTTCGGCGCTGTTCGCCGCCGACGCGGCGCTGGCGCTCGCGACCGGGCGTCCTGACACGTACCCGGATGTCCTCGCCGGCGGCTTCGGCGCCCTGGCCTGGCTGGTCCAGGTGGGGGCGGTGGCCGCCCTCCCGCGGTGGACGCCGCGGGGGCCTCTGCCGCTCAGCCTGTCCGTGCTTCTCGGCATCCCAAACCTCGTCTTCACCTTGGTCATCTACCTCCAAAGTATGGAATTGATGAACAATACACAGTTTGTGACCTGAGTAAAACTTGGAAAGTTGAAATACAATGTCATCAGATGACTTTTTTTTTTTTCCCCAGAGGAGAAAAAGTTGTGTATGATCCGCTTTCTTTTTACCCAAATTATTGGCCAATTATTCCAATGAAATCATCACACAATGAAAAGGAATCGTAATTTTATGTGGCTTTTGAGTAAATGCGCAATTACGGAAAGGGCAGGTCTCAAAATTTGCGCTAATAAGATTCCAATAATTGGTGGTGTCGAATGAAATAAAATGAACCGAAAGGTTTATAGATGAAACATTATTCTTACCGATTATTTGGATTTAAAAACATCTCAAAAATAATATTTTGGGACTTTTTGAGTCAATACGTAATTCGACATTTATTTTTATATTTAAGCCAGCCAAGAATCGGAACAGAAACTTCAAAATAATTTCCAGGTCAAAAATTTTTTTTCTCAAACGTGATGGTTGATTCAAGAATGTATAAAAGCACCCAATTTGATCAATTGTGAGATTTTGTTGAATTGATCTTCCAGAAATGAATAATTTGTGACATTTGAGTAAATTGATCGTGGGCGGCGTCGGTCAAATAATTTCTAGCATGTGACGAAAGAAATGTGCATCTATTTAGTTTTTCAAAAAAAAAAAATTTTGATGGAAGAATTTTTTTTACGGAGACATCCATGTCCTCAAATTGGCATTTGCAATGCGCAGGAAGCGTCCCCGCCACGTCAAGCGGGGCCCTCCAGTCGGCCCGCTTCGTTCTGGCCGCCGTCCGGATGCTCCCCGTGCCGCTGTATCTCGCGGGGACGGCTCTGGCGCCCGCGGCGCCCCTCCAAGACGACGACGCCGCGCCGCCGCTGCTTCCCGAGGAGGAGGAGGAGGACACGGGCGAAATGGTGGCGGAGGACGGCAGCGGGTGCTTCTCCCGCCTTTTCTACCTATGGCTGACGCCCCTCCTG